GTTTTCAAGAATTTCAGACTGGCGTTTGTATAAATATTTTTATTATATAATAATTAGAATAGTCTTACTTGATATTTGATGCTTATCTGTTTGTGAATGAGGCGTAGACCGCTGATCTTTGATGTTGGCGTTTCGAGCAGTATCGCTCGAAGATGATATAAGCTGCTGATGATAGTCACAATGGGCACTGATAATGTTTATTTGCACACCACTGTATAGAAATGTCTGAGACTTCCTTGACTACGCGGCACGAAAGTCAAGTCTCCCGAAGAATATAAGTAATGTTCTGATTTTAAACTGGTTCCTCGAAGGACCAAAAAAAATGTAGGGGTTGTTCCTACACTTGTTGATAATGATAATTGATATTGATAATGATAATCTACGGGGATGATAAATAAAAGATACGTCCCGTAGTGAGCGCTTGATGTTGTACACTGATTTATTGTATAGTAATATATGTATAGTGAAATGATATATGCTACGTAAGTGATAATTTATAAGTATATTATTATTATGGTACGGTGTTCCGTACAGTATTATTAGTTAGGTATTATATAGTTTTTATTAGTTAAAAGATTTGTAATGCATCCGTACGAAGTCGGGGTCGGAAGCTAGTATTGTATAAGGAGATATATAGTATCTGATATATACACTGTTAAGCTCTGCGATTACCTGATTTATATACAAATTGAAAATGCGTAGAGGCAGCCCTCATCTCATTCGGCGCTCTAATGAATATTCCCATTATTATTATGTATGTATGTATTTACATTAAAATCAGTTTATGTCATATCAACCGCGCCCCGCGTCGCTCGTAGTAGGCATTAGGTATATATTTAAGTATCGATATCGATATTTAAAAAATATAAATAAAAACATTTTTTCGGACTACTCTAATGCTGTTGGCCTTTACAGCTTCACAGGACGATAGGGGGCGAGTGCAGATGGGATACCAAACCCGGTGAAGGTCATACGGCTAGGGGTCCAAACCTTGGCTCTGGCCGTCGTAGTAGTATTAGGTATATATTTAAGTATCGATATCGATATTAGAGAAATATAGTTATCGATACTTAAATATCGAGATATTACAAACATTGGCTATCAGGAATGATCGATTTTTGAATATCGAGATATTACAGATATCGCCTATTAGGGATGATGATATTAGTAAAATATTGACATTTAAGTATCGAAATATGAGATAAATCGACTCATAAAACAACATCAATTTTGATAATATTTTATCGAATATTATATATAAAATTTACGTGTCATGTAGTTTGTCCGCGATGGACTCCTGAACTACTGAATCGATTGCAAATTTGATTTGCTCATTGTGTGCAATTTGATCCAACTTGAAAGATAGGATGGCTTACATCTTAATATATAGTCGCAATATTACTTTATTCAGAAACCTTAGCCACAGCATCGCGTGGCCGGGTCTGCTAGTATATATACCTATATAATATATATATGTTTATAAAACCTGTTTGGTGGATAATATAGTTTTAAAATCGATATTTCTATGTTATCGAATACTTGATATCGATGTTTACAGGACATCCCTAATGAGTATGTACGTATATCAATCATTATTAACAAATAGTAATTATCATATCGCTCCACCACTCAACTGGTGTAGGAACACAATTAATATTAGTTATTTTTATTCTAAACTAGCTGTAACCACAACTTCGTCCGCGTGGAATTTAACTTTATTTTTCAAAAATAAAAGTAGTCTAAGTTACTCCTTATTACATTACACCTGCCAATAAAACTCCCGTCAAAATCGGTCCAGCCATTTCAGAGTTTCGCCGGAACAAACAGACAGACAGACAAAAATTTAAAAAAAAATTATTTTAGTATATGTACCGTATTTATATTTATATGCATGTAGTAAAAAACTGTTATTTCAATATTACAAATAGACATTCCAATCTTATAAATATAGAATAGGGTGGTTGAAACTAGGGGTTGTTTTCTAAAGCTTCTAGTTTCAACCGCGATATGCTTTCTTTTCCAATCTGAGGAAACGCCACTACACATCCTGTGGTTGTAAACTCATACACAAACGAAATATCTCCTTAGGAAAGTTTACACTCTTTCCCGAGGAGATAAAAACCATCGCTCCTAAGAATATCCTTCAATTCTTGTCCCTGACGGGTCTAGGTAGCAAACTTTGAAAAAGGGCGAGCACAATAGATCTATGTAGGTCGCAGTACAATAGAATAGAATAGAATTACTGGCAAGAAACTCAATAGATTTTTTTTTTAAAGTCATTTTAATTACAACTAGCTACTCACCCAGCCTTCGCCCGGGTGTACATGTATTATACGTATAAACCTTCCTCTAGAATCATCAATCTATTTTTAAAAAAAAACCGCTTCAAAATCCGTTGTGTACTTTTAAAGATTTTTGAGAAGAACTGGCAAGAAACTCAATTAAATATCTTTTTTATTTTAAACACGTTAAAAATAAGTACAGGTAATAACACAATGCAGGGTTGTACAAACGGCATGAGCGTATTGTGACCAAGTCGGCAGTTACAACTAACTGCACACGCGGGTGTGCTTGGCATTGCTACAAATTGTCTTGTGGCTGCTCAACTGTTTCCTTACAATCTGATTTCAAATGGCAGGAAATTCCCAATTCAATTGTTTATATTCTTTACAGTTGAATAGAAATGGCTTTCATTTAAGTAAAATTAATTTTTAGTGTGTTGCAGTGGATTACAATTATTGTTTATTAATATGCTTACAATATAACTAATTTAAATTTCTTTATTTATTTAAATCAGGCTGCTAAATCGGCTATATATAGGATGAGGCAACTAATATTAACGTTTTACTCTAGTTAGATTTAAACAAGTTTATTTTTAAACTTTCGTGTTTAATATACATTATTTAAATTATTAACCGGGTCTTAACACGAATAATTTTATGGCAAATAAAGGTATTTACCTCTCTCGACGTTTCGACTAGGTTGCACTAGCCGTGGTCACGAGCTGACACAACCACGTGTCTCGTAAATACCTTTATTTGCCATAAAATTATTCGTGTTAAGACCCGGTTAATAATTTAATTAAACAAGTTTGTTTTAGATAGATAGATAAGTAGATACGCAGGGGTTCTTCCGCGGGCCCATTTGGGCCTCCGGGTACAGGCCTGGAGCATATGCTTATTATCCGGGCATACTGCTGGGGTGGACCACCTCAGCGTCGTTCATTTACGCCGTTAGTTGGCGAGGCCGGCTACTATTGTGTAACCGGCTGAGGGAGTGCCCTGCCGCGAATGACGTGTTTCCACGATGGAGAAAAAATCGCGCGGGAGCGCGTGAGTTACGTCCGGTGGGCGCGCGAGGAGTGGGACGAGTCCGCGAAGATGTGCTTCGCACTCACATTCCGCGCGCGAGAACTTCGCGGGCGTCAACCGGGCGACAAATTGCTCCACCGTGGGGACCTTAAGATCGCGGGCGATCACATCATTGCGGACGTACCGTCCGACATTTGTGCAAAGACGGAGGGCAATGTGCTGTTGGACCTGCAGTCTTCGCCGCTGTGTGACCGAGCACAGTTGCGGGGGAGGTATATGTGAGCCGTGAATGTAGGTCTTGTAGATCCCTACCTTCATCCGCAGCTGCTGTTTAGACTGTAGGACCGGTCGCAGCATAGCGCGCGCGGCCTTGGCCAGACGGCACGGTCAACCTGCGGCGTCATACGCAGCGACCGGTCGATCTCGACCCCTAGGTAACGCACTGTGCGCTCCCATTTAATGGGATTTCATCTTTTATTTACAGACACATAACATACATGAGATACAGAAAAAACACGAATTAATAAAAGAAATGTAGGTGACTTTATGTGCCGCAAAAGTGAAAAGGCAGCCAACTCAGTATAATGCTACAGATAACTCTGCAGCGCTGATATTCTGTTGGCTCCTTACTTATACTATACTTATTACTAAAAAATTACATAAATATTAAACTTCGAGCTCTTTATCAAAATATATAAAGTATGAATAAACTGTAATTAATTATGTTATTAAACTACATAAACTACTTTTAGAATTTCTTGTAACTAATAACTTTATTTTTATTATAAAAAAGAAGAAAAAGTTGATTATTTAATTGAATTAGTGCTAATCGGTAGTTTGTTCACATACTTAAACATAAATTGTAAAGTAAGAATAAAATTATTTAAAAGAGCAACACGCAAGTTTCATGCTCGTTCTTCTTGTGATGAGAAGCTTTCCGAATGAGCGGTAGATTAAAAAAAATGTGATGACTATTCAAAAGTGTTTCAATGTAAGTTTATTTGAATAAATTATTTTCTATTCTATTCTGAAGATCTTCAGCTCGTATGAACAATACAAGACAGTAGAAAATATTGAACAATGTGCACGACATTGGAATTATAATGAATTAACAGAACAACGAAAAAATACCTTTATATTTACTGTAATAATAGAGTAAACCAAGTAGACCGGAACATGTATATTTACGGCAAAATTGCGGCGAAAAAAGGCTAAAAAGTATTGCTATCCCACTTCGGTGAAAGGAGATGTGGGGGTCTCTGAATAGAGATAGTACTAAATTAAAATTCAAAATATCTTTATTCATGTAGATCTATTACAGACTCTTATATTATGTCAAATCTACAGTCAGTTTGGAATGATTTTGAGATAAGAACTGAGAGGAAACTCAGCTGGTATTCTTTTAAAAAAAAAATGAGTTCCGTATAATCTCTGAAATGGCTGGGCCGATTTTGACGCGACTTTTTTTGGCAGATAGCTGATGTAGTAAGGAGTAATTTAGGCTACTTTTATTTTAGAAAGATAAAGTTAAATTCGACGCGGCTTCATCCGCGTGTACAGCATCAGAAATATAAATCGTGCTTAGTGACTTAGTGCCGCGTAACTTAGTAGGCATATCTCAATCTTCAAATCAGCAGGATAGCTTGTTATTTTCCTACAGAATTTAGCAGTTTATTGTTTTTTTTTCAGGTAGAACTTGATGCCCTTAGACTGTGCTCTCGTCGACTTTTCGTGGTGCGTGCTAAAGTAGAGCATGCCTACAAACCGCTGTATCTAGTGATTGATGCTGCAGTGGCTGTGAGTTTATTGATGTTTAGTGATGATACGGCCAGTTGGTAGTTTGTATTCACACATAAATTTCAAAGAGATTTTAAGAAAGTTGATTATTTAAAAGAGCAACACGCAAGTTTCTTGCTCGTTCTTCTTGTGATGAGACAGCTTTCCGAATGAGCGGTAGATTTAAAAAATGATAATTATGACTATTCAAAAGTGCTTCAATTAACTTTATTAGAATAAATTGTAAAATTACAATGATTATTTAAAAGAGCAACACGCTAGTTTCTTGCTCGTTCTTCTTGTGATGAGACAGCTTTCCGAATGAGCGGTAGATTCAAAAAATGATAATTATTGCTATTCAGAAGTGCTTCAATTAAGTTTATGTAGTTATGTAAATGATTTTCTGTTCTATTCTTCTATTCTATATCTTTATATAATAAGAATATCTCAGGACAATTCACACAGCGTCATATTCTCCCAAAATAAGCAGCAAGCAGACTTTGTATTCAAAAGTGCTTGTAATGAGTTTATTTGAATAAAGATTATTTCTATTTCTATTTTTTTTCGGACTACTCTAATACTGTTGGCCGCAGCTGGCCTTTACAGCTTCATCGGACGATAGGGGGCGAGTGCAGATGGCACTCCAAACCAAAGGAAGGACTTATGGAGCAGCTGAAGGCCAACTGCGGACAGACGGTTACGACTTTAGTCTGAGGGCTCTCTTTAGGTGTTCGAACCTCGGCTCAGACCGTCGTAATATCGATCCCCGTTTGAATTGGACGGGGGATCGATCAAGGGTCAAAGATCAAAGATCGAAGGGTTGTATTACGTGTACTATATAACCTATATATTTATATCAGTTGTGTAGTAATAACTTATATAAATACATAGATACATTTTCTGTTAATACGCACATAATATACATAGAAAACACCCAAACTAATACAAATAATCATGTATACAAATGTTTGTACCGTACGAGGAATTGAACTCACGACTATCAGAATTAATGACCTAAACCACTTGACCAACGAAACCGTCATTATATTAAAAAAATCGAAATTCAAAATATCTTTATTCATGTAGGTCTACTACAGACTCTTATGATATAATATATCAAATCTACCGTCAGTTCGGAATGATTTCGAAATGAAAAGAACTGACAAGAAACTCAGCTCGTATTTTTTTAAAATAAATGTTGTACATATTTACAGTAATACAGATATATAGTTTAGATGTTGATAGACGTTGAATCTAAAATCAATCATATTTATTTGTGGAAATATTCATAGCAGGCAAGAATCGAATCTGCGACTAGTCCGTCCCAAGTTAGTTACTTAGTCCGTATAAGTAACCAATGTTATAAGCTACATAATCAAGATTTACGTCTGTTTAGTGCACACCATATACGTAACCCATTCATATATAACGCACAACCACCTAATACTGAAAATCAAACGGTATTTCTTTTACTGGTCGAGATTAGTTCGGTCGTACAGAGACAAATGTGTAAGCAGAGGTGTCAAACTCAAGTTTGCAGAGGGCCATATATCAACTGTAGCCGGGCCAGATTGAAATAGAAAAAATGTAGGGACTTATTGTGACATTTTATTTATTTATTCTGATCTCGGGCTTTATTGGTTTGCGGGCCTTTGACGGCCTCGATTGTCTAGCGGTTTAGCACTTTACTTCTGATGGTCGCGGGTTCGATTCGCTCTGTGCAAACATGTGTTTTCGAGAGTATGATTGTTTGTATCGGTTTGGGTGTTTTATATGTATATTAGATAGATAGATAAATTCTTTACTTACAATTACAGACACATAACATACATGAGATACAGAGAATTAATAAAAGAAACGTAGGTGAGTTTATGTGCCGCAAAAGTGAAAAGGTAGCCAACTCAGCATAATGCTACAGATAACTCTGTAGCGCTGACATTCTGTTGGCTCCTTACTTATACTATACTTATTACTATTATACTATTATACTTATTATGTATGTATTTATAAAAAAATGTTTAAGTACTAACTGACCCCCCCGACTTAGTCTACCTGACACGTACTTCACTATCTTTTTAAATTATAGTCTATGTGTTATTCTGATGGATAAGCATAGTCTTTATTATTGTAAAGTTTCATTAAAATCCATTTCCACCCATAGTTTTTGTGTGAAAGAGTAACAAATATCCATCCATACACAGAAACTTTCGCGTGTATAATAATCGTAAGATTAATATATATATATATATTTGGGAATAAGGATGAATGGAAGAGAAAACCCTATTACGCCGACCCCAAATAAATGGGATAAGGAAGAAGCAGATGATGATGATGATATCAGTTATCTAGTACGCATAACACAAGATCTGCTTACCGTAGAACAGGATGGCGCTGTGTTAATTGTTCAGGGTTATTTATTTATTGATACAGGCCAGGGGCCGGAAGCGGGCCGCGGAGCGCGGGCTGCGAGCCGTACCTTGGACATGGCTGTTGTAAGGGGAGCTCCATACTGCTCGTATATATAATGTGGGGTGGACGGAATGTAGCTCGTTCAATTGTTTCTCAACATTTCTGGCGACCTTCCAAGCACTGCTCATAAATGTTTAAGTTTCCCCGCCTCCAGCTTCTTACTGTTGTCTATCTGTACCAAACATTAAACAAATTGAATATTTTCAGCTTCACAATAACACTGCAGATGAGGGTCAACGGTTCAATTCTATACAAATAAATACATTTCAAGTAGATACTTGTAATTTGCATGCATGTTTATATCAAGTTGTTTATCTTGATGGTTTAGCGGTATAGCACGCTTTACTCCCGATGGCCGCGGATTCGATTCCTCGCACGGAATAAACATTGGTATTCATTAGTATAATTGTTTGTATTGTTCTGGGTGTTTTTTATGTACTTATAAAAAATATATATCGAAGTATTTATATCAGTTGTCTAGTACTCATAACACAAGCTCTGCTTACTGTGGGACTTCCTGGTGCCGTCTTAATTGTCTAGGGTTATTTATATATTATACCAGCTGTCCCGGCAAACGTTGTTTTACCATATAAATTAATAACGCTATAAAAAATAGGGGTTGGTGATAGAAGGGTGAAAATTTAGGGTTGTATGTATTTATTACTGACAGATTAAAAAAAAAAATGTTAGGGGTGGACAACCCTTATCACTTAGGGGTATGAAAAATAGATAGTAGCCGATTCTCAGACCTACTGAATATGCATATAAAATTTCATAAAAATCGGTCAAGACGTTTCGGAGGAGTATGGTAACTAAATTGTGACACGAGAATTTTACATATAAGATTTGTTACCTTTTTATTAAGTCTCTAAAGAATTAAAGAAATATAATAAAAAAATCATTTTAACAAATTTATATAAAAATACGTATGAAAATATATAAAAAACGTATATATGAAAATATATACAGCCTAAGTTACGTATATCTTAAATTGAGCAGTATTGAGTTTATTTGAATAAATATTATTTTTATTCCTACTTTGGTGATATGACCATCTTCTCATCTCATTACATGACCATACCACCTCAGCCTTGTCTCTGTGAGTTTGTCTTTGATAGAAATAGAAGTAATTCAAATAAACTCATTACAAACACTTTTGAATAGTCATATTTTGATTTCACCACTCATTCGGAACGCAGATTCATCACAAGAAGAATGAGCAAGAAACTTGTGTGTTGCTCTTTTGAATAGATGTTTTTTTATATAAATAATTACAGTATAACAAGTAAGAGGCATGCGATAATCAACATAGAAATCTCTACTCACTCATTATTAGTGTAATCAGATAATATTGTCAGTGCTATAGATTTTAAGTTTTACTATAAAAACATTATTATCGTTAACGAATTCTTCAATTTTATAGTAAGCTTTTTTGCAAAGGAAGTGTTTTATTTGACATTTAAAGCTTTTTTCGGGCAGATTTATAACAGAATCTGGTATTTGGTTACCTTACGCAATTGCCGTAAAATATTAATGGTTATATATAGTATTAGATAGTTTAATTTTGTCTGTCTTTCCCGTACATTAAACATAATTATATATTAAACTTTAAATTGTACAGCGCTGCTGTTACACCTCGTTTGTTTTGAATTGTCCATTTTTACATTTACTAAATAATCATTACAGTTACGAACGGACCAACTTGTGTACTAATTAGCACCTTGTGACCTAATAGCACTGAATATTGTAATATTATATATATTATATATTATATATATATTTATATTTGTGTATATATCCTAGATTTTATTTAATTATTTTTGTTATCTATACATCTATACATATAAATAAATTGGAGTGTCTGTAATATTGAAATAACCGTTTTTTACTACATGCATATGAATATAAATACGGTACATACACCAAAATAACATTTTTTTTAATTTTTGTCCGTCTGTCTGTATATCTGTTTGTTCCGGCTAATCTCTGAAATGGCTGGACCGATTTTGACGTGACTTTCTTTTGCAGGTAGCTGATGTAATAAAGAGTAACTTAGGCTACTTTTATTCTACAAAAAATCTCTTTTGTTAATTACCACGTGGACGATGTCGAGGGTACAGCTAGTACTATACAAAGTTATAGACCATTTCTAGTCACAAGTAAGTAAAGTGAAAGCTGTATTACATACGGACAACGCCGCGAGACAGAACTAGTTATAGATACAAGCAGACCTCTCCAAAAAGTATTCAAGTTTATAAACTGACCGAGAATCCGATCATAATGTGGGCTGAAAGGAATTTAATAATAGATTCAAGATAAGAATGTATAGCTTTATTGAAACTTAAGCCAGTTTGTGAAGGTATTACGGAGTCGGCCGTCACAAGATGTTGTATAGGATCACGGGAAATCAATTTGTATTCAGCTTACATAGTAAAAGGTTTGCGATACAATTATGAAGTTTTAATACATCATTTATAACTATTACAATCTGAATTGCGGTAAAAGCTTTATATTAAGACTAGCATTGTCCACGGCTTCGCTCGCGTTAATGG